AAAAAGTAAGCTGGTGCCCTGGCTGGTTTGGCTCAGTGTATAGAGTGTTGGCCTGCGGACTGAAGGGTCCCAGGTTTTAGGTTCGGTCCCCAATGGGGATGTAGGAGGTAGCCAGTCAATGATTCTCTCTCATCATTAGTGTTCCTATCTCTTCCTCTTCTTTCCTCTCTGAAATCATTAAAAAAAATATTTAAAAAAAAAAAAAAAAGTAAACTGGCCGAAACCGGTTTGGCTCAGTGGATAGAGCGTCGGCCTGCAGATTGAAAGGTCCCGGGTTCGATTCTGGTCAAGGGCATGTACCTTGGTTGCGGGCACATCCCCAGTGGGGCGTGTGCAAGAGGCGGCTGATCTGTGATTCTCTCTCATCGATGTTTCTGACTCTCTATCCCTCTCTCTTCCTCTCTGTAAAAAATCAATAAAATATATATTTAAAATAAATAAATAAGTAAACTGACTTTGGGTATGAAAACATGAATAAAAGAAAACACCAGCCGAGACTGGTTTCGTTTGGATAGAGCATCAGCTTGGGGACTGGGTTCGATTCCGGTCGGGGGCATGTACCTTGGTTGCGGACATATCCCCAGTGGGGGGTGTGCAGGAGGCAGCTGATTGATGATTCTCATCGATGTTTCTAACTCTATCTCTCTCCCTTCCTCTCTGTACAAAATCAATAAAATATATTAAAAAAAAAAAAAAAAAGAAAGAAAACACCAAGTTCAAGGTAGGTGTTAATTGCAAGTGGGATTGAAGTGAGAGATATATAAAATATTTCAGCTCTATCAATATTTTAGTCTTTAAAATGTTGTAATTTGATAAAGCTGAAAACTAGATACCCCAATGTTATGTTTTCTATACCTTTCAAAATATTTGCAGTACTTTATTAAAGTAAATTTTAAACTTATTTTTCAGTCTGCACAGCTGTAATTGTGCATTTTTTGAAGAATAATTAGACACTATCTTCTTCAGCCTGTGAAGTTAAATTAGATTGGTAGTTCCTGGGAGCATACCACCTGGCTAATGTTTCTGTGATGCCCTTGTTAGGGGGTGACAGCAGATGGTTCCAGCCAGCTGCACACAGAGAGGAATTGTCTGAGTCATGGACTTGGTGTCTAGGTTAAAGCTCTACTGATTTCAGAACCTGAGAAACCTGTTTTCCAAGATAAAGACCCAGCTATTTGGCAATTTTGTAATAACTAATGTTCAAAATGCCTGCTTGGGTTTTATAATAAAACAGTATATTTCAGGTGATGTGTGATTTTTTAACCATTTTGGATGCTTTTCCAAGGGTATGCTACTGTTACTTGAAGGCCAAAATTCCATTTTTGCATATTGTGAAGCAAGTATGTTCAAATTTGGTTCCCTTCAGCTTTTCTTTTCTTTTTTTAAAAAAAATATAGATTTTATTGTTTTTTCGCAGAGAGGCAGGGAGAGAGACAGAGAGCTAGAAACGTCGATGAGAGAGAAACATCGACTAGCTGCCTCTTCACACCCCCTACCAGGGATGCGCCCGCAACCAACCTACATGCCCCTGACTGGAATCAAACCCGGGACCTTTCAGTCCCCAGACTGATGCTCTACCGCTAAGCCAAACCAGTTTCGGCTCCCTTCAGCTTTTCTTACTCTGCATTTTGAAACAGAAAGAGTATTTAATTTTTTTTTTTTATCCTCGCCCAAGGATATGCTTACTTATTTTAGAGGGGGGTAAGAAAGAGAAACAACAATTGGTACACACACACACACACACACACACACACACACACACCCTGTGGGCCCTTACCAGAGTATCAAACTCACAACCTAGGTATGTGCTCTGACAAGGAATCAAACTCACAACCTTTTGATGTATGGGGAATGATGCTTCAACCAACTGAGCCACACAGGCCAGGGTGGAAGAGTTTAATTTTGCACTAGCATTTGTGAGCATACAAGTTGGACTTTTAAAAAATATATTTTATTGATTTTTTACAGAGAGGAAGAGAGAGAGAGAGAGAGAGAGAGAGCCAGAAATGTCGATGAGAAACATCGACCAGCTGCCTCCTGTACCCCCCCACCCCCCCACCGGGGATGTGCCCGCAACCAACGTACATGCCCCTGACCGAAATCGAACCCGGGACCCTTCAGTCCGCAGACCGACACTCTACCACTGAGCCAAACCGGTTTCGGCCACTGTCCCCGGTTTTAATAAATGTCCCCTAAAATAAAATTTTAAAAGGCAGTACCTGGTACTGCTCAGGAAGCAAAGACACACAGCAATCAGGGTGCTTTCCAGGGCTCTCAGCTCGGCAGGGCATCAGGCAGGCTGTTGCTGCCCCTAGCAGTTGGGTGCTCCCTGCCTTGATGATTTCATTTTGGGGTCTTAAGTGGATCCTCACTGTCTTGTCTTAATAGCTATGCTGTCACTGACATTTGGCCAGCCATATGTGTTGGGCAGAACCATCACTTTAAAATATATATATATTTTAGAGAGAAAGGAAGGGAGAAAGTTAGAAACATCAGTGATGAAAGGGAAGCGTTGATCAGCTGCCTCCTGCACACCCCCTACTAGGGATTGAGCCTGCAAGCCAGGCATATGCCCTTGAATGGTTATCAAACCTGGGACCCTTCAGTCCACAGGCCAACTCTTTGTCCACTACCAGCAAGGGCCCTCCACTTTTCTAGAGTGGAAAGGAGGGAAGGGGAGCGAGAGAAAAAGAAACATCGATGTGAGTTGACTGGCTGTCCCCAATATGCACCCCAACCGAGGGCAGGGAGTGAACCTCCAACCCAGGCATGTGCTCCTGACATAGAATCGTAATTGTTGTATAGTCCAATGGTCTAACAACCAAACCATGACAGCCAGGGCTGTTTTGTGATCTTTGGCACATTGTTGAAAGACCCTGCTCCATGTGTACATCCAACTGGTTCTGGTTGAAGTGTGATGGACAAAAATTATCCCTATTTAAAAAATAAAACCACCACAAGCCTTTATTAAAGTATTATTTACATACCAAAGGTCATTCGTACGTTTACAGAGTTGTACAACCATCTATTCCCACAGTCCAATTTTGGAACATTTCCATCACCTCCAAAAGATTCTTATACCCATTTGTAGGGACTCTGCACCCCATCCCACAGCACCAGAGACCATTAATCCACTTCTTGCCCTCTTGATTTGCCTTTTCTGGACATGCTGTATGATTCTGTTCATATTATATGTCCAGATAGGTATGTTTTAACTGGTGATTTCATTGATAGTTGCTTTCAAATTAACTTTTTTACTTCAGAATATGCTTTTCCTGCTATATTAGTTACTTATGATTTATTGGTGTGTGTGTGGGAAGGAGGGGTGGTATTTTGCACAGCATCAACCATTTTTGTGCAAAGATTGATGTTTTGTGGAACATTTGGTTTCATGCTTATCATTGTGACATATTTTGGAGACACAAGAGAAGCACAAATCCTTTTCCAATGCTTTCTAGAGTCATCCTCAAGTTTATTGGTCCATGAGGTCCAAAAGGTTGGCGACTGTTGGTTTAAGGAAACCGTTAGAGCAGCATTCACCATCTGGTAGTCCACAAAGTCTGAAAGGTTGGTGACTGCTGCCCTAGTTGGTGAAGTAAACCTAATAAACATGAAAACAACATGGAGCCAAGTGTTGGGCCCTGGGATGTTTATTGAGATGTTTGAGATGTTTTTCGAGCGCCCTGTGCCAGAAGGTAGAGATCATGTTGGCCAGGATATAGGGAGAGGTAGTCCACACTACCTCATGATCATATGGGAAGGTGATAGATACAGTGGTAGAGGGTAGACGTTAAGTCATCTGGCTTTTTATATATATATATATGTTTTTATTTCAGAGAGAGCAAGGGAAAGATTTAAACATCAATGATGAGAATCATTGCTTCCTACATGTGCTGTACTGGGGATCAAGCCCACAACCTGGGCATGTGCCCTGACTGGGAATCAAACCTTGACCTCCTGGTTAATAGGTTAATGCTCAGCCACTGAGCCACATCAGCCAGGCTATCTCTCTTTTTTAAACAGTGGGGACAGGTTGATAGATCTATCTTAGGCATATGTATCTGGCTGGAGTTTTTTTTAAAATATATATTTTATTGATTTTTCACAGAGAGGAAGAGAGAGGGATAGAGTCAGAAACATTGATAAGAGAGAATCATCAATCAGTTGCCTCTTGCACACCCCCTACTGGGGATGTGCCCACAACCAAGGTACATGCCCTTGATCGGAATCAAACCCGGGACCCTTCAGTCCCCAGGCTGACGCTCTATCCACTGAGCCAAACCGATTTCGGCTCTGGCTGGAATTTGATAACATTATTTTGTTTCCCTTGTACAAGAGCAGGCCAAATTTGGGGGCACCTTGGTGTGCTGAGGTGAAAGCAGAGAAGTGACTTGAGTTGCCCTTGGAGCTGGGGGGGTTGGCAGTGGGGGCGGGGGTGAAGGAGAGCTAGAGTTAGGGAGTTCTTTCTGAGGCTCTTATGGTAGCTTAAGTATGAAGTGGTGTGCTGGGTCAGAGAGTGGGTAGGAAAGGTTAAGAGAGTTCCTCATGAGAGGTGCTCAGAGTGCTAGTGTGTTCCTTCCTCATCTCCCATTACCAGTGCTGGCTTTTCAGTACCCAGTTCCCCTTAGCCCACTGTGATGGGACACACATTCAGAAGGACCTTGAAGTCTATTTTTTTGCATCTGAACATCAATTTCTGTACTGGATATGTGTGTTTTTGATAATGGGGGCAAGGATAATGGAGTCAACATGCAACAAAGAATTCGGTTGAGTGGGCTGGTATCTTTGTCATTAGGTGATGTGTTTTCCTGCATAAGGAAGGAATCACCATGGAGGGCCGAATAGTGATGTTGTAGAAACAGCTTATGGAGGAACTGTGCTGGACTAGCTCTTGTCTTGGTGCTCTGGGCGACTGTGGGCCTCCTCCTGCAGGTCTGGGCATGTTCTCTGTTGGCTGGAATTGCCCTGCCAAGCTAACTGGTGTCTGCTTTGTGTTTTAGACTTTTGCCAAGTTCCGAAGGTGGTGGGGAAATGCCGGGCTTCCATGCATCGGTGGTGGTACAATGCCACTGGCGGTTCCTGCCAGCAGTTTGTGTATGGAGGCTGTGGTGGGAACGACAATAATTACCTGACCAAGGAGGCGTGTCTTGAGAAATGTGCTGATGTTACAGGTAAGACAGTGGTAGTTGAGGATATGTTACATTTAGAGTCAGTTTATTCATTGGGATGTGGGTGCCTTTTGCTCTTCACTAGTTCTTCATGGCTGAACTTGGGGAACAGGCACAGTGCGAAGGTCACAACACAGTGGTTTCACAGTGGTCCTCTTCATTCTCTTCCCAGAAAGGGAGAGTAGGCAGCAGGCTAGGGTGGGGGCAGGACTATGTCTTCTCTATGACTTCCTTTCTCCCACTACTGAGTGCAGGTTCCACACCAGACCCCACACAGGAGGAAGTAACTTCCCCTTGAGCAGAATCCAATGTTCAGTCAGGTACACTGCCCCAATTGCTCCCTGGGCATTTGGGTTATTTTTGCCTCTGGGGCAAATGGCTTGAAGAGCTCACCCAGCCAGCTGAGTTCTGAGTCAAGTTAAAACTAGAACAGCCTGGCCAGCATGGCTCAGTAGTTGAGCATCCACCTATGAACCAGGAGGTCACAGTTTGATTCTCCATCAGGGCACATGCCTGGATCAATTGTTCTTTCTCATCATTGATTTTTTTAAAGTATATTTTATTGATTTTTTTACAGAGAGGAAGAGAGAAGGATAGAGAGTTAGAAACATCGATGAGAGCCGAAACCGGTTTGGCTCAGTGGATAGAGCGTCAGCCTGCAGACGGAAGGGTCTCAGGTTCAGCCAAGGGCATGTACCTTGGTTGTGGGCATGTCCCCAGTGGGTGGTGTGCAAGAGGCAGCTGATCAATGTTTCTAACTCTCTATCCCTCTCTCTTCCTCTCTGTAAAAAAATCAATAAAATATATTTAAAAAAAAAAAAAAAAGAAAGAAAGAAAAGAAAGAAACATTGATGAGAGAGAAACATTGTTCAGCTGCCTCCTGCACACCACCTACTGGAGACATGCCCACAACCAAGGTACATGCCCTTGACCAGAATCAAATCTGGGACTTTTCAGTCCGCAGGCCGACGCTCCATCCTCTGAGCTCACCGGCTGTTATCTCTCTTGGCTTTGCACTCTGCATTAAAAAATCAGATAAACTCATCTCTCTCACAAAAAATCAGATAAACTTATTAAAGTTCTATGTAAAAAGGGGGGAAATAGTGGCCTTGGCTATGACCTGAGATTTGAAACAGCTGAACACACAAGCCCACCAGTGACTGAGTGCCTTGAACACTTTGCTGATCTTTGTGTGCCTGGTGCCCAGTGGGCACTCAACAAGTGTTTGGAGAGCTGTGGTGATGGGGTATTGTTTTTGGATCATACAGACAAGCTCTTCACCTTTCAGGGAGCAACTGGCAACCTTACCAGATGGTGACTGAGGAAAATAGCATCCATTGTAATTTTCCATCATCAGCTGGGATCTAGTGTTGGGGGAAGAACTAAGGGAAAATAATTTTGCTACTTTTCTGTCCCTTTCTAATTGATTTGACTGTAGGAAGTGCACCTGCCCATTCTGGTTGCTCCTTATTTTCTCAGGAAGAGGGGTGTTTTTTTTGTTTGTTTGTTTTTTGTGTTTTTTTTTTGTTGTTTTTTGAAGTATTACAAATAGTAGTACACATATCTCCCTTTTTCCCCCCTTGACTTCCCCCCAGCCTCCCCTTCCCTCCCAGCATATGCCTTCACCTGTCTCCCCCTCTCCCCCTATGTGAGAGTTGTTTTTAACAATTCAAGCAGCAGACACTAGGCATTAAGACAGGAGGTCACTACAAGGGGTTAGGGATGGTTGTGTTTGGCTGGGAGAAGACAAAGGGCTGTCTTTGTTCAGAGTCCGGCTCTAGTCTTAAGGGCCCAGAAAGCTCTTTTTTTCCACCCAAGCATGTCTCCACTGCATGTCTCTTGAGGATCTCTTGTGAATCTGTGCAAGAACTTGAACTGTCAGAGCCTGCTAGGCACTGGGGCCTTTGCTAGCAAGTTCTCTCCCAGGAAGGCAAGCTCTGTGGGAAGCCACATAATAATGAGAATGCTAGTTTATTAATTTATAATGAAAACCAGAATCACCAAGGGGACCAGAAACTCAGGTCCCTGTGCCTGCACCTGTAGTCCACTTAGGAAGTCCTCTCAGCCAAATTCCCAGAAGATTGCTTGATGAGGAGCAAGGCAGAACAAGGGCAGCTGGTTTGTGACGTGAATGTTTAATGGCATCTGGTCAGGCCAGCCCCGTGCCTCTCCAGAAGGTCTGCTGGGACCAGTAGGGAGGCGGGAAACCAGGGCCCTCCTTCCTGCACCCTGCCAGCACTCCTTTTTGTGCTTCCTTAAGTGGCTAGCCTCTCTGCCTCACACTCTTAACTATGTATTTGTGTGTATGAGAGAGGGGGAGAGAGGGAATATACATAATATAAAATTTACCATTTTAACCATTTATAAGTGTACAGTTCAATGGCATTAAGTACATTCACATTGCTTTTTATTCATTAATAGGTTAATACAGTTAACAGGTATTTGGCCCTGTAAGCCATATTATCTTTTTACATTCATTTTACACATCTGTGTTCCAGTTACCAGCAGGTTGATCTTAAAATTTAACCCACAAGGACAGTCTTGGTTCCTTATTTCTAAGTTCTGGCAGGCTTGTGGTCATGTGCTCATTGAATGGCCCACATAAAGGAGAAACAGGAGACTGCATGAAGCACAGTGTTACACTGCCTTGTTTTGTTTCGCTGGATATTTTGAAGGGAGGGGCACTTTTTCACTGTGGTTTATTTGTCTCCTTGTAGAGAACACTAGTGATGGTCTGGCCACCAGCAGGAATGGAGCAGATTCCTCAATCCCAAGTGGTAGGTTTTTAATAGACCCAGGATTAAATGAGAGCCATCCAGATGGGGAACTGTGAAAGGACATTTGGAATCTGGGACTTGTACATGAGCTTCCATCTCCTGGTTCTATTGACTCAGCATTGGCTCTGCCTGGACTGCCACCTTCTGGCTCCTTAATGGAAAGGAGGGCCAGGGGAGTCTGCAGTGTTTCTGAGCTGGCCTCAGCTTCCTCCTGGGGGTCAGGGAATTGTGATCACTGCCCATGTGACTCAGGCCACTTCCTTCTCTCTAGGCTGGCCTCTGTGTCTCACCATCCACCCCGCTTCTCCTTGCCTGTTCTGTCTCCTCTGCTCCCTGTGCTAAGAGGACTGGCCACATGCCTCCATTCCCACTACAGTTCTTGATTTTAGCTTTGTGTTATCTTGCTTTGTGCTGCTGACAGTAGTTACCCAGTTCCTTCTATATGCCTACAGGATTCTGCATCATATGCATTAGCAAGTTCAACCTAGCTATCCCAAAGGCCAGTCCATAGGTGATGGGTCCTGCTAGGCAAGTCCTATTGTGGAGGGAGGAAATCCACTCTCATCCAGTTGGAGGACAACCCCCTCTGACTGTGACACCAGCACTTATGTGAGAGTGTTTATTCTATGACTTGCAGAATGCTGAAAGTTAGGCCAAAAATCCTGTGACCATCCTGGCCATCACTTTGCCTGAGCTCACTGTTTATTCCCAATCTGGACTCTCCAAGGTCATCCAGACCTTGGGGCACTGACATAATAACTGGTGTCAGTCCTGTTTCAGAAGAAAATTTTCCTAGGAGAGTAAGAGAGGGACCTCCTTGCTGTGTAGAGAGAGAACACAACCAGTTTCCTCACTGTCGTGTAGAAAGTAAACAAGACTACCTTCCTCATAACCCCAGAAACTGTGTCTGGGATTAGTTTCCATAGCATCCCCTGGAGTGACAGGTGGGCCTCCCCATTTGACATTCATTTGATAGGTGCTATAGAACCCATTGGAACCGGAGTTAATGGTGCAAAGCTGCCAAAATAGGGTGCCAGTGTCCACACTCCCTCAGTGGGCCCTTTTAGATTTAGCCCCAGCCAGACCACATGTCCCGTGTCCATCCTTGCTTCCCTGACACAGATGTTTGTTTGTGTTTCAGTTCCCAGAATACAAAATTTTGATGACCCCTCTGGCGATATTTTCAACTATGAAGGTATAGCAGTTTTTAAATTTCTTTTTAATTTTTGATGGTAGAAAGTATAACTTTTAAAAAATATTTTTATATGGGCAAGACGTATTTTCTTTAGTTAGTTGGAACTGAGACACATTGGAGGATCTCCACTAAGGAAACTGTAGTGTGGGGCTTCATGGCCTTTCCCAGGTGGTATTGAATACACAAAGATGCCTAGCGGGGCATGCACAGCGTGCTGCAGGAAGCTGAGCTCCAGAGAGACAGTCCAGCGTGCAGGCCCAGCCTCAGAGTTCCTAACTGTGAAATAAGGGGCTTAGGACAGATCTCTTTGAGATCAAGTTAATACATGGAAAGTACCCAGAATAGTGCCTGGCATAGAGGAATCTCCATAATAACATAGTCTGACTATAAAGAGAAAGATACTAGAAATGTAGAGGAGGGTGTCTAATGGGCCAAACTGGCCATGCCTGTAGTTTACTAGTTTCTGTAGCAGAGAGACAGTTCTCCCTTGGCTGGCAACTGTGTGACACTCTAACACCCTGGAACACTCTAACTCCATCTCCGTTCCCTGGTCCCTGCTCATTTGTGCTCCTCGGCTCTTCTGCTCCCAGAATACTGTACTGCCAAGGCGGTGACCGGGCCTTGCCGCGCATCCTTTCCACGCTGGTATTTTGATACCGAGAAGAACTCCTGTGATAACTTTATCTATGGAGGGTGCTGGGGCAATAAAAACAACTATCTCTCCAAGGAAGCATGCATGAACCGCTGCGTAGGTGAGTCTATCTGATCCTGGATCCAAGAAGCAATGGTGGGTGAATGGCCCTCCCAGAGTTCATCCCCTATCCCTAAACCACGACTTAGGCTATCATCTGGCCTCCATCCTTCTCTGGCTCCCTAGTGGGGAACAGGTGGGCTTTGGCCCTGGCTGTTGAGCAGACATGGCCTAGGTCTTAAAGACCTCAGAAGAGCTGGAAGAAGAAGTATCTCAGGATGATTCTGCCAGAAAGTCCCATGGCCGAGGGGGTCTTCAGGTGGTGACAGCTCTGGGGGAAGAGGACTGAGCTGACCTCAAGGTTGTGTGTTCTCTTGCAGGCAAGCAGCTGTATCCTGTCCTGCCCCGTAGCACTAAAGGTAAGTGGCCTCCTACCCCTCCCACCTGCCTGCCTGCCTAAGCTAAGCTGTGTTTTGCAGGCTTATGTTGTCTTGGACACATCATTCTTCACCATAAACATCTTTAGTAGAAAGTTGTGTTTCTGCACGAGAAAAGCCAGGCAGCTTGGAACGTGTGGTTGATGTTTGTCCGACCGCAGAGTGTACATAGCTGGGGCTGGGAGTGAGGCAGCTGGGGGTGACTGGAGGCAGCGAGTCCTGCTGTTAGGCATGCGGGATCTGCAGCACACAGGCCTGAGTTTTACTCCAGGTTTGGAGGGAACTTTGCTTCGAGGGGTGGACAGAGTTGGTCATGAGTGACAGGAAGTTGGAAACCTTGCTGTGTGTGAGGCGCAGCCAGTGCTGCTGTCCCCAAGCAGTGTGGTCTGTGGTCTGAAAAGGAGGCGGGGCCTCTCGCTTCTGTTTCTTGTGTATTATCTTTTTTCTTTTTCTTTTTTTATATATATATTTTATTGATTTTGTACAGAGAGGAAGGGAGAGAGATAGAGAATTAGAAACATCGATGAGAGAGAGTCATCGATCAGCTGCCTCTTGCACACTCCCTACTGGGGATATGCCCGCAACTAAGGTACATGCCCTTGACCGGAATCGAACCCGGGACCCTTCAGTCCCCAAGCCGACGCTCTATCCATTGAGCCAAACCGGTCCTGGCTCTCGCTTCTGTTTCTGATTCTGAGCCTGTCATGGAGGATAGTGTTTGCACAAAGAACCTGCCACACTGGTTTGGTTTCTTTCTACCTGTTGCCCTGGTAAGGAGCCCCAACCTGGCCTGATACCTGCTCTATTTTAGAGGAGGGGTGAAATGAACTGGTTTGCCAGGCCTAAGCTGAATGCAGCCCAGCCCACATCTGGAGTGCTGATGGGGTAAAGATGGAAAGGGACTCACCCCTTTCTGATTCTGTAGCTAAGTGGGAAAAGGGAACCAGGTAGCGGCCATAGGAGCTGCATTTCTTTAGTGGAACCCTACCTGGAAAGAAAGCATCTTCACCGACCAGTAGGTGACAATGTTAAATTTTCTAAGTTCATTAGGAGCAGTAGGGGTCTCTTCCTGGCACTGCTCCAAATACACCCTTGCCTCCATCTTTACTTCATTCCACAGGCAGCTACCTGCAGCCCACCTTTCTCTGTGGCTAGTCAGAGGTGGTATGTGAACACATAGCCTGGGGTTTTATGTTTCCATACACCCCAGAGATTATGCTCTTTGCATCCTGGTGTGCAAGGGCTTAGAACTCCTGTACAGTTTGCTCCTGAGCCGTGGAGGGACACAGAGAGTTGAAATGAAGCATTTATTCAAACAGAAGAAACACAGTTGCTGTTTGTGTGAATATAGCATGGCACCTCCCTTTTTCAGGAACCAACTTCTTAGGTCTCCTTGATGACCTCCCTGGTGGGCCATGTCAGTTCTCCAGACTCCCAACTTGGGTGGAGGAATGACAGGCACAAGGAATGCTGGTCCTTACCGTCAGCCCCTAGGGTACCTGTGTCCTTCCTAAGCTCTGTGCTGCCCCACTCTGGCCGTGGCCCTCCTTGTCCCCCTGGTTCTGAGGCCCCTCTCATCCTCAGTGGTGGTCCTGGCGGGGCTGTTCGTGATGGTCCTCATCCTCCTGCTGGGAGCCTCCGTGGTCTGCCTGATCAGAGTGGCGCGGAGGAACCAGGAGCGCACCCTCCGCACTGTCTGGAGCTCCGGGGATGATAAGGAGCATCTGGTGAAGAACACATATGTGCTGTGAATGCCCTGTCACCAAGAGGCACTTCTCTTCAGGATTCAGGACCCCCTGCCAATGAAGAGAACCTGGTGGTGGGGGCACAAGTGTAGAAAGTGTGTGTGCGTTTTAAAATAGAGTGATTGATTTGTATTTTTGTGATCATTAGGGCTTTTGGTCTGTTTGTTACTTCGGGAGTTAAGAGGGTTTCCTGGTCCTCTGGGCAGGTTTGCTTTGTTCACATTTGGGTGGCTTGGCCCCAGACCAGAGTCAGTTCCTCTTTGATTTCTTTACTCCATGTATAGTTTTCTTTGTCTATGTTGAAGCCTTTTGCCTCCTTCCCCATCATAGAAATTTCTTCGTTTGATTTGTGGTGTATTTTTTTTAAAAGTAAACAGAAATAAAAGGTTTTGTTTTTTTTTAGAATTCTAAAAGGAAGAGAGTAAAATGTACCAGTTCAATAAAAAGGACCTCCCCTTTTAAAATAAATTTCAGCATGTGCTTTATTTCTTTATGGGACTTAATTTAAACTCTACCAAAATTATCACAGGGCACTACATAAAATGTTCCATTCTAGAAACAAACTCTTTTAGAAAGAGCATTTTCAGATCTTTTTGAATGAAATATATCTTGCATTATCAAACAACACAGCCTTATCACCCATGGCGAGCTCTGGGTGTTTGTTTCTTTGTTGGTGGTGGTATTTTTTATTCTAGTTCCCTTTTTTAAAGATTCTGGCCATATCCCACTCAATTAAGAACAGGAGGGTTACTATTTATTTATTTATTTACTTACTTATTTATTGTTAATCCTCACCTGAAGATATTTTTCCATTTGTTTTTAGGGAGAGTGAAAGAGAGAGAAGACAAACATGTCAATTGGTTGCCTCCTGCATGTCAGAGCCCGGGCTAAAGAGGAGCCTGCAACCAAGGTACGTGCTCTTTTTATATATATTTTATATATATATTTTATTGATTTTTTACAGAGAGGAAGAGAGAGGGACAGAGAGTTGGAAACATCGATGAGAGAGAATCATCGATCAGCTGCCTCTTGCACAGCTGATGTGCCTGCAACCAAGGTACATGCCCTTGACCGGAATCGAACCTGGGACCTTTCAGTCCACAGGCCGACGCTCTTCCACTGAGCCAAACCAGTCTTGGCCTGTGCTCTTGACCGAAATCAAACCTGGGACCCTTTGGTCCACAGGCCAACACTCTGGTTTGGCTAGAGCTGTTTTTTTTATTTTTAAATGATCCACTAAAATGGAACACTGCTTTGCACAGGAGGGTTGGAATAAGGATGCATCCTGTTTAGGGGAAGACCAAGACCTTCCTAAAATTGGAGTGGTTCTAACCAAAATCTCTTGGGCCTCATGATTTTCATCTTTTCCTACAATTCTACAGTTTTCTCAGGTCTCCCATGAGTCCCTTTATTGAAATGGGGACAGGGATAAATTCAGCCCCCAGGCTCAGTCCCGATTCTGCTGCCTATCTGTGGGTGTTCCCTTCCTGTCTTGACTCTAGAAGCCACTTTCCTCCCCTCTATCTTCCAAACATATAGTCCTAAATATAGCAGAATCCAGGCCACAGCAGCAGCAGGTAAAATTTCCCAGGGTTAGAGACCAAAGAAAAAGGCTAATAACTCCATCAGTGCATCAAGAGTTTTTAAAGGGAACTTGGTGCCTTATCTTGAGCAGCAAGAGGTTCTAGAGGCACTAAAGAATTATATTGAACAGAGCAAGATGACGAAGGTACTGGGGGTGACTTGTTTGGGTAAAGGAAAATGGCTTATTATGCTTGCCTGGGACAAGCAATGGCCTATTCCTGGAACCAGTTCTAGTGGGGATAGGGTAGGAGACAGATAGCCTCTGAGGAGGCTTACTGGGAAGCAATCTCTGTTCTAGTTAGGTGAATTAGTCACATCAAGGAACATGCTCAGTCTCTCCACCTGCCTTGGTGACTCAGGAGCTGGACCCTGGCTCGGGAGTGGGCAGAGGTACCTGGCCAGTCTGTGTGTTCTATGCAACCTGACAGTTCCAATATTGTTTTGGCTGCTCCTTGGAACAAAATAAAAACTCTCCTTCCTAGAAATCCTTCAGGCTAAAAAGGACACATTCTGTACATTGGAGGAAAGATCTGCATCCATCAGGGCTTAGAAATCTATTCCAGAAGCAAGTTGGCAAATACCTCATCTGCTCCTTCTTGTCCTTCCTTGTCCATGATAAGTGTTGCTTGTGGATTCGGACATTTTCCCTGCCAAGCTTTTCCATCACTGCAGTTGACTCAGTTGGTGAGCAGGGAAGCCTGCACTGTCCTACACACACAATTGAGAACCCCAAATGGGAGAGCCTGTGGTCCAGGAAAAGGCCTATGCATTGAGAAGAGACTGCCCAACACCCCAGGTATTCAGTAGTGGGCAGTTCACTTAACTCCTTTGAATCTAGAGTTCCCTCACCTGTAAGATAGGTGGAGGTGAGGGTTACACGAGATCACACGGCAGGGCGCCCAGGGGACATGCTCAGCAAGGGGACCTACTTCAGGGAGGGGGCTGGTTTCCACCTCTGCCCATGTACCTACTTCCTTGTTTCTCAGTAGTGGGTGGCTCTCCCTTAGACCTACCCTGCCACCATGAGCAACCATTAATTCCACATAAGTCTCCATCTTAGGAAGCTCAAACTCATTGATGCCTCAGACCTAGGAGAAGGCCTTTCTCCACCGACAACAAGCATTGCCACCTTTAAACCTTAGTTACATGAAAGGAACGTGTTATGTGTTTGGATTTTTTAAGAAACTTGGGAATCATTTTACTGTTGTAGGGAAATCAAGTAAGTTTTACTTTTTATTTTTAAAAAAATATGTTTTATTGATTTTTTAAAATATATTTTATTGATTTTTTACAAAGAGGAAAGGAGAGAGACAGAGAGTTAGAAACATCGATGAGAGAGGCATCAATCAGCTGTTTCTTGCACACCCCCTACTGGGGATATGCCTGCAACCAATGTACATGCCCTTGACCGGAATTGAACCCGGGACCCTTCAGTCCACAGACCGACACTCTATCCACTAAGCCAAACCAGTTTCGGCATGTTTTTTTTTTGTTTGTTTTTTTAATCAATCTTTATTGTTCATATTATTACAAAGGTTCCTCATTTCTTCCCCCCTCCACCAGGTTCCCACCCCACCCTCCGACCCCTCCCCATCCCCCATTGTCCTCATCCATAGGTGCAGTTTATGTTCAGTCTCTTCTTCCCTCCCTTTCCCCAATAGTAAATCCCTTTTCAGATAGTAAATCAGTTACTTAGCATTTTCTTAAATCAATAATACCTCCACATGCCCAATGATACACTTCACACAAAAGACATTTCCCAATAGGTCCACCAGCCTCATCCAGGCCCCACCCAAGGCACTCACAGATCAACACCCCAGCCCTATACTAACTCAACACATCCAGATCTAAGCTTTCATCACTTGATTCAGCAGAACCCTCAAGTTCCCACGAAAGTTTCCAGCCATGTCTGAGAAGCAGCTGTGGGGCAGGGGCAGGCGAGGAGCGAGCTGTTCCGGGCCTGGCTGCTAAGGGCCTGGCCTCTGTTGCTCTGGTTCATTCCACAACCAGCTGCTCCGGGTCTAGTCACTGCCGCTCCCAACCTAGTTGCTCTGGACTTGGCTGCTGCTGCTCCGGGCCTGGCCGCTCCCAGCCTGGCAGCCGCTGCTCCGGGCCTGGCCGCACCCGACCCGCCTACTCCCCCGGGCCTGGCCGCTCCCAGCCTGGCAGCCGCTGCTCCGGGCCTGGCCGCACCCGACCCGGCTGCTCCCCCGGGCCTGGCCGCTCCCAGCCTGGCAGCCGCTGCTCCGGGCCTGGCCGCACCCGACCCGCCTGCTCCCCCGGTCCTGGCCGCTCCCAGCCTGGCAGCCGCTGCTCCGGGCCTGGCCGCACCCGACCCGCCTGCTCCCCCGGGCCTGGCTGCTCCCAGCCTGGCAGCCGCTGCTCCGGGCCTGGCCGCATCCGGCCTGGCCGCACCCGACCCGGCTGCTCTGGGCCCGGCTGCCCCAGGCCCGGCCGCTCCGAGCCTGGGCACTCCCAACCTGGATGCTCTGGGCTTGGCTACTGCTGTTCTGGGTCTGGCTGCTTCCACCCCGGCTGCTCTGGGCCCGGCTTCTCCGGGCCCGGCCACTCCGGGTCTGGGTGTTCCTGGACTGGCCACCCTGGGCTTGGCCGTCTCTGCCTCAGGCCTGGCTGCCACTGCCCCAGGTCTGGCTGCTCCAGTGCTGGCTGTTGATGCTCTGGTTCTGGCTGCTGCTGCTCTGGGGCCTGGCCGTTGCTGCTCCGGGCCTGGCTGCCACTGCCTTGTGCCGGGCCACCCTAGGCCTGGCCGTCGCTGTTCCAACATTCTGTCCTTTTTTTTTCTTCTTTTTTTTAAAAAAAACGCATTTATGTTGCAATGTTGGCTGTTGAGTTGAGTTCTGACTTAGTCTTTGATTTTTCAAGAACTTCTTTGTATTCTTTCTTAAGTAATTTTACTATCTTTTGCTCTCACTTGATTTCTTCACATTGAGAACTTCTTTGGTTTCTTCCTCCTTGTCCTGGGAGCTCAGCTAGTTGGCCTGTGTCACCCCTTTGTTCTCCGCGGGCTCCTGCGCTGCTTTAGCCTGTTGCTGGGGACAGCGCCGCCCAGGAAGCAGGCCCCCTGGCCTTGGCTCCATTGCCCGTGCTCAGCGGTGGAAGGCTCAGGGGCACCCCCCACCCCCAGGGGCCCCGTCGCCGGGCTCCTTGCTGGTGCCCGGTTGGCCTGTGTCCGGCAGGGGCTCCTGCTCCCCGCCGCGTTCCCCCAGCCTGGAGCTTTTTTTCTCCTTCCCGCTAGGGGAGTCCAGAATCAGAGTCAACAGACTGTCCTCTGCTCGCAGTATTCGCGCGACTCAGGGGCCCGGCCTTTCGCTGCTCTCCCTGGACTCCACCTCACAGCCCCGTCTCCCTCTGCCTGAGTCTGTGTCCCCAGGGATTAGCCCAGAACTGGGGTTCGGAGCAGT